CGATTGCCGGAAACACGTCCATTCCTTGTGCTGCGATAAGGGCACACATAACCCGTTCCGCAAAGAGCAGGTGCAATCGCGCCAACAATGACTTCGTGTAACAACTCGTTCTTTGTTACACCACAGTATCACGAGCTGACAGTTGCGCGAATCAACGATGCCCAAAGTCCACAAATTGTAGATAAATTGAATGATACGCATCGTCGCCTGGTAGTTGTTCCCACGAAACGTGCAGAAGACGAGTCTAAATCACAACATCACCCTCCAAAACGCTCGAATCAAACCAGTCAACATTGCACTCACTGAGTTATAAGGGGGAGGCTTTCTCCACAATCTTATCCGAAATGGAGGTGTTCAGCCAAAGCCTCAGCAACGCGAGCATTCTGACTATCGTCGTAGCCCTATTAACCGCGCTCGCCAAAGAAATTGTCCAGCGCCGAGACCCAAGCTATTAGTATGTTGTGAAGCAGCTGTGTGGCGACAATGAGCTGACTAACGACACGAATAGAGGTGTCCAATAACGACTATATTTCGAAGACAACAGCACGTTCTCTCGCAAGGCGCAACAGGCGAATATGACGAATAGGACAGGCCGGCACGAGTCGAGCGTTCTAGATAGGAGAATTGAGCTTCATTGAGGCCGACCCTAAAGTCATCAACCCTAGACATCATGCGCCTTCAGCATCGCCATAATTCATGCTCCTCGACACACTACTATGATGCTATACAACATGGCACATGTGGTCTGCGGACGCGATAATGACTGATGAAATCATTTACCGGTTTATGCCCTACTTTTATGATGGCGCCCATATCGAGAAAAGAAAATGAGCGAAGGCCAAACACGCAGAGGAACGCAGGAAATATCAAAGCTATGAATACCTGAAGTACAAGTGAAGATCTCCCAACAAGTGACGAGTCAGTAGAGCGAAGGTAGTGATCCACGATTGGCGTCTCTGCTCGTAATGTCGACAAGAGCACACGTTAAAGCCCAAGCGGAGAGACTGTGAGTCCGCGGAGAGACTGTGAGTCCGCGGAGCATAATTCACCGACCCATTATTACCACATTCTAGCGGTTGGCACTCGATATTCCTCTTGTCCTTGAATAAGCGGTTCTGTGCGTCTTTCTTGTACGCTTACCAAATTGATATTGGTCTGGACCACATTCGAAGGTTCATTAATAGCATTGTGCGCCACAGCCCTAGCACTCGATCTGCGCTTTGAGATCGGTCTCGCGTCTCGAAGTGCCCGTTCATCTCTCGCTCTCTCCAAATCCTCGTAGCTCATCACCCTCGCTGTTCCGATGACTTTTGGTCTCGTGGATCGCCGTACCCGAGCTTCGCTATTAGTCTTTTGCAGGAAGTCGTTGCGCCGCTCGAGCAGTGCGTACTCGGCGAAAGAAATTTCAGCAGCTTTTGATAGTTTCTGAACATGCTTCTGTAAGCGGTGGTGGGAACCGCTGTCCAGATCTTGTACATCGCGTCGGATCACATCGCGCAAAGCTGTGATGCCTGCAAGATCTACCGGAGTTACAGGTGTCATGGGTATTGTCGGTGTGGATGGAATGGTTGGTATTGACCACGTTCGTATATTAACGTCCTGCTGACCAGCCGCATCCCCATTCCCCGATTCTGATATGACAGGAGGCGCAGCGCCGTGCGGCAGATCACGAAACACTCTTTCGGGACAGAATGGGAACAAACCTGCCTTGGACCATCCTGCGCGGATGTTCCGGGGCGTGAACGCGATCTCACGCGCATGACAATACAACATGGCGAAGTGCTCTTTGCCGATCGTTCCTACGCCGCCTCGCTCGAGCCGTTCTACCTGATCACGATATGCTCCTTTGAGTGGACCGAAGATGGAGATGTCACATGGCTGCAGTTTATGGGATGTGTGGGAAGGCAGGCGGCAAAGTATGATCTGGTGCTGAAGAGCGAACTCAAGGACTTCAAGGGTTTCGTGGGTGCCAAAGCCGTCACAAATGAGCACACGCGGGCGCTGTCCCGCTCGGTCTCTCGTCTGCGGATCAAACACCAGACGGAGCCACTGCAGGCTAAGATATGAGT